ACCTAAGGTCTATCTAACCTCCACCCCTACCTTATACTATCATCCATATGCCTATCTAATAGCAGCTTAAATGCCCCTAATGAGGCCGACTCCACTACCCTCTCCGGCAACGCATCCCACGCCCCGACCACTCTCTGAGTAAAGAACCTACCTCTGCCGTCTCCCCGATATCTACCTCCTTTCACTTTAAAACTATGCCCCCTCATAATAGCTACCTCCACCCTCCGCCCCTCTGGTCAGAAGACACGGTGCAGGCTGAGGGACACTGAAACATAATGAGATGTGCCGGACCAAATGAAAGATCCAATGGAAGGGACCACAACAGGGCGCCATTTTAGAACCCCTGCAGTGTGGAAACAGGCTCTTGGGCCCAACAAGTTCACACCAACCTTTAAAGTATCCCACCCAGACCCACCCCCAGACACTATGGGCAATTTAGCATGGCTAATCCACCCTAACCTGCACATCTTTCGACTGTTGGAGGAATCCAGAGCACCCGGAGGAAACCCACACAGACACGGAGAGAATGTGCAAACTCCACACAGAGAGGTGCCCAAGGGTGGAATTGAACCCGGGTCCCTGGTGCTGTGTGGCAGCACTGACCCACCGTGGAGTGTCAGGAAAGGAGGAAGGTGTGGGTGGTGTGGGGTGTCAGACTGGAGAGATTCAGGGAGAGAGTTCCACAAATAGATAGGGTCCAGCCTCCGATGGGGAAGCAACTCTGAGAGGGGGGTTTGCTTGAGCTATACGGGATGGTTTAAACTAGATTGGCAGGGGGTGGGGAACCAGATTTGTAATTCAGAGGATGAGGTATTCAGCCTTCCAACAGACACAACAGGGAGTGAGGTTGTTAATAAAGAAATGCGGTTGATGGAGCGTAATTGCGGACACCGAGATGGTTTGAGGTGTGTATACTTCAATGCTAGAAGTATCAGAAATAAGGTGGATGAACTTAGAGCATGGGTCGGTACTTTGAACTACAATGTTGTGGCCATTACAGAAACTTGGGTAACTCAGGGAGAGGAATGGTTGTTGGAAGTTCCGGGATTTAGATGCTTTAAAAGAAATAGGGAGGGTGGTAAAAGAGGCGGGGGAGTGGCATGGCTAGTCAGGGCGAGTATAGCAGCTACTGAAAGGCAGTTCGAGAATGAAATGTCTACAGAGTCAGTTTGGGTTGAGGTCAGGAAAAAGAAAGGAGCAGTCACTTTGTTGGGGGTTTTTTACAGACCCCCTAATAGTTGTAGAGAAGTGGAGGAGCGGATTGGGAGGCAGATACTGGAAAGGTGCAGAAGTCACAGGGTTGTAGTCATGGGTGACTTCAACTTTCCAATATTGATTGGAAACTTTTTAGTTGTAATAGTTTAGATGGAATGGATTTTGTCCAGAGTGTTCAGGAAGGATTCCTGACACAGTATGTAGATAGACCAACACGAGGAGAGGCCACTTTGGATTTGGTGCTTGGCAATGAACCGGGCCAAATGTTAGACCTGTTGGTAGGAGAGCATTTTGGCGATAGCGATCATAACTCTGTTACTTTTACAATAGTCATGGAAAAGGATAGGTCCATAAAGCATGGGCGGCACGGTGGCTCAGTGGTTAGCACAGCTGCCTCGCAGCGCCAGGGACCTGCGTTCAATTCCAGCCTCGGGTGACTGTCTGTGTGGAGTTTGCACATTCTCCTCGTGTCTGTGTGCATTTCCTCCAGTTTCCTCCCACAGTCCAAAGATGTGCAGGTTAGGTGGATTGGCCATGTGTTCAGGGAGGTGTAGATTAGGTGGGTTACAGGGGGATGGGTCTGGGTGGTATGCTCTGAGGGTTGGTGTGGACTTGTTGGGCCAAAGGGCCTGTTCCCACACTGTAGGGATTCTATGATACAGCAGGGTAAGGTTTGTAATTGGGGGAAGGGTAATTATAATTCTGTTAGGCAAGAACTGGGTAACATAAATTGGGAACAGATGCTGTCAGGGAAGAGCATGACAGAAATGTGGAGATTGTTTAAGGAATGCATACTGTGTGTGCTTGATATGTTTGTCCCTAGCAGGCAGGGAAGATGCGGTTGAGTGAGGGAGGCTTGGTTCTCAAGAGAGATCGAACAACTGGTTAAGAGGAAGAAGGATGCTTATATAAGGTTTAGGAAACAAGGATCAGAAAAGGCTCTAGAGGGATACAAGTTAGCCAGGAAGGAGCTGAAGAAAGGGCTTAGGAGAGCTATAAGGAGGCATGAGAAAACCTTGACAGATGGGATCAAGGAAAAACCCAAGGCTTTTTACACGTACGTGAGGAATAAGAGAATGACCAGAGAAAGGGTAGGCCCGATCAAGGATTGTAAAGGGAATTTGTGCACAGAGCCTAAAGAGATAGGAGAGGTCTTTAATGAATACCTTTCTTTGGTATTCACAACTGAGAGGGACCTAGTTGTAGGGGAGGACAGTGTGAAACAGGCTGGTAGGCTAGAGGAGGTCGATGTTAGTAAGGAAGATGTACTAGAAATTTTGAGGAACTTGAAGATAGATAAATCCCCCGGGCCTGATGGGATTTATCCAAGGATTCTATGGGAAGTGAGGGAAGAGATCGCAGGGCCTTTGGTGATGATCTTTTCGTCCTCACTGTCCACAGGTATAGTACCAGAAGATTGGAGAGAGGCAAACGTCATTCCCTTGTTCAAAAAAGGGAATAGGGATAACCCTGGAAATTACACGCCAGTTAGTCTTACTTCAGTGGTGGGCAAATTATTGGAAAGGGCTCTGAGAGATAGGATTTATGGTCACTTGGATAGGCACAGTTTGATTTGTGATAGTTCAGCATGGATTTGTGAGGGGTAGATCATGCCTCACAAACCTGATCAAATTCTTTGAAGAGGTGACCAAACACATGGATGAAGATAGAGCAGTGGATGTGTTACACATGGATTTAAGTAAGGCATTTGATAAGGTTCCCCATGGTAGGCTCATGCAGAAAGTGAGGAGGCATGGGATAGGGGGGAAATGTGGCAGATTGGATTCAGAATTGGCTGACCCTGAGAAGTCAAAGGATGGTAGTGGACGGAAAATATTCAACATGGTGCTCAGTTACGAGTGGTGTACCACAAGGATCTGTTCTGGGTCCTCTTCTCTATGTGTTTTTTGTAAATGATTTGGATGTAGGAGTGGAAGGGTGGATTAGTAAGTTTGCAGACGATATGAAGGTGGGTCGAGTCGTGGATAGTGTGGAGGGCTGTTCTAGGTTACAAAGGGACATTGATAGGATGCAGAGCTGGGCTGAGAAGTGGCAGATGGAGTTTAACCCTGAAAAATGTGAGGTGATTCATTTTGGAAGGACAAACTTGAAAGAATACGGGGTTAACGGAAAGATTCTTGGCAGTGTGGAGGAGCAGAGGGATCCTGGGGTTCATGTTCACAGTTCCCTGAAAGCTGCCACCCAGGTGGATAGAGTTGTTAAGAAGGCCTATGGTGTGTTAGCTTTCATTAATAGAGGGATCAAGTTCAAGAGCCATGAAGTTATGCTCCAGCTATACAACAGCCTGGTTCAGCCACATCTGGAGTATTGTGTCCATTTCTGGTCGCCTCATTACAGGAAAGATGTGGAAGCGTTGGAAAAGGTGCAGAGGAGATTTACCAGGATGTTGCCTGGAATGGAGGGAAGGTCTTACGAGGAAAGGTTGAGAGAGCTAGGGCTTTTCTCTTTAGAACGACAAAGGATGAGAGGTGACTTGATAGAGGTGTACAAAATGATCAGAGGTATAGATAGAGTGGACAGCCAGAGACTTTTTCCTAGGGTGGAGGTAGCTATTACAAGGGGGCATAGTTTTAAAGTGAGTGGAGGTAGATTCAGGGGAGACATCAGAGGTAGGTTCTTTACTCAGAGAGTGGTCAGGGCGTGGAATGCATTGCCGGAGAGGGTAGTGGAGTCGGCCTCATTAGGGGCATTTAAGCGGCTATTAGATAGGCATATGGATGATAGTATAAGGTAGGAGTGGAGGTTAGATAGACCTTAGGTTTAGGGTAAAAGTTCGGCACAACATCGTGGGCTGAAGGGCCTGTACTGTGCTGTACTGTTCTATGTTCTAACTCAAATTTCAGGGGCTCCAGGTCTCAGAAGGAGAGGAATGCAGAGATAGGGAGGGGGTGTAGGGGCTGGAGGAGGTGACAGAGATAGGGAGAGGGTGTAGGGGCTGGGGGAGGTGACAGAGATAGGGAGGGTGTGTAGGGGCTGGAGGGGGTTACAGAGATAAGGAGGGGGTGTACGGTCTGTTTGAATACAGAGTAATCTCAGACAATGCCACAAAAATGTGTTAGGAAATAAATTTATGAGTTTAATCCAAACTTAGAACAATCCTGGTCCATGATGCTTAATGCTGAAAGCACATGAAGTGTCATTGCGAGAGTAAGGGAGCGAGTATAAACGAACAGAGGTAAATAATCTACGTTCAGACGACTTTTTAAAAAATTCATTCATAGGATGAGGGTGTCGCTGGCCAGGCGGCATTTATTGTCCATCCCTAATTGCCCAGAGGGCAGTTAAGAGTCAACCACATTGCCGTGGGTCTGGAGTCACACGTAGGCCAGACCAGGTAAGGATGGCAATTTCCTTCCCTAAAGGGCATTACTGAACCAGATGGGATTTTCCGACGATGGATTTGTGGTCATTGTTAGACTCTTAATGCCAGATTTTGTTTGTTGATTTCAATTTACGACCATCTGCTATGCCAGGATTCAAACTCAGGTCCCCAGACCATTACCTGGGTGTCTGGATTAACAGTCCAGCAATAATATCTCTACACCATCACCTCCCTGACCAGTTGAACAGTTTAAGATTTTAGGGATTTTTCAGATACCTGTTCAGGTGTGTTATAACACCTTGGGAGCCAACAGGACTTGAACCTGGGTCTTCTAGCTCAGAGGTAGGGACACTACCTTCACACCACAAGAGCCCCCAGTTGTAGATCCTCATGTCAGTGAGAAATCAGAACATTAATTCTGTCATCGTTGTTTTCCTTACAGATGAAGTTGTGGCACTACAGCAGTCAGCTCCATACGCACATCTGGTCATTCAAGATCCAATCCCTATCCTCTATGCCCAGGAAAACATTGTCCAGCTCTCTATTTCCAAAGCCAAGTCTGAAACCTCCAACCTCCAGCTTCACGGTACCAGAGAAAGTTCATTGTCAAGGCAAGGGACCAAGTCAACGTTGCAAGCCATCACCTCACAGGACAGCTCCTCTCCCACGAGCCCTCAGTCCCCCAAGGTTACCTCTCCCGAGTCACTGCCTCTCAGGTTGAGCGCTGAGCTTCCTTCTTTCGTTCAGTTTAGCTCGAGACCCCATGGCTCCTCATCACCAAACCTGCCAGCGTCTGGAGGTGGCCCCTCGTTGACTACAGGTTTCGGAGCACAGTCACCTACCTCAGAAAGTCTGGGGCACGTTCCACACAGTCCCCTCCCGGCACGTGCAACCAGGCCTGGTCCTCCCCCATCCCAGACAGGCCCCAGAGCATCCTCCCCCACCTCCGGTCGTTCCAGCCCAGTGTCACAAGGTTCAAAGGAGCACATTCCATCTCTGTCCCGGGTCAGATACGGGAAGCAGATTCCGGTCTCGGATTGGTTGGATGTAGCGCTGGACAGATCACCGCCAACAGGCACCCGGCCAACGAAAACGCAAGCCCCTCCATCACAGACTCCCGGTGACCCTCGGCCTCCGTCTGCTCTGCCCTGTAACCCCCACGAGCTGATCTCCAACCCCAGGCTTGTGGGCGGTGTCGCCGACGCGGAGAACACGCTCCAGGGGGGCTGTGCGGCAAAGGCGGGTTCAGCGGAGAGCCCGACTGGTCTGTTGGGTGGAGTCTCAGTGGCTCGGTCGCTGTCCTGTCCGGCCTGCGGTGCGCCACACGAGGCTGTTCTGCCCAAACCTGGCGTCTCGCTGGCGTGCGCCGTATCTGAGTTCTGCTGCTCGCTGCCACCATGGGTCAGCCTGCGGGGCAGGTCCCCGTCCCCCTCTGCCATCAGGCAGCTCGAGCAGTCCTCAAAACCCCCCCGGGGTGCTGCGCCTCTGGCCCGCCCCACCCACACGGCCCAGCCGTCTCCCTCCCTGGGTCCTGAGGCCAAGTCGCCTTGCTCCCTCCAGGTGCGGGCGGCCCCCCCGCCTTGCCTCACGCACTCTCGGGGGCCAGTGTGCCCCCCCAGCTCTGACAGGCGGGCCGTGATCCCAGGGGACAGTGTGGAGAGCCAGCCCGTTTCACTGAGCCTTCAGTTGCGATCGCCCTCACCCTTTCGATGTCAGCAGAGGCACCCCCCACGGGTGCTGGACACAGCAGGCACCAAGCAAGGCGAAGATCTTCCAAAGTTCAGCAATCAGGGGCCTACCTCCTTCCAACTCTGCACAGCCACTGGCCCCTCGGTCCACTCCCTCTCGCCCCGTGCTAGCCCTCCACTGGGGCAGGCCGTCTCCCTACCTGCCACCAAGCGATGCGCGCCTTCCCCACCCCTCCCCATCTCCAGGCCCCCGTTCCCAAGAGGGAGGGTCAACTCCTTACCTTCGCTCGGTGGGCCTACGGCCTACAACTGTGACAAAGCAGAGCAGGGGCCGTCCTCAGATTCCGGCCTCGGGGTCTGCTTACTCCTGTCGCTGCCCGTTAATTCACAGGCACCCCCCACGGTCAGCTTCTGCTCAAATCGACCCCTGAGGGGGTCGCGGGAGCAAGGCTCGTTCTCCGACGGGTCTAACTCCAGGCCTCAGTCTCCCGTCGATCGGACCTTTCCGGAGCCAGGCCAGAGGTTACGTTCCCCGTCCCCGCCATCTGCATCCCAGATAGGATCCTCCTCTCCACATCATTCCACGTTCCCGACACAAGCTGACAGAAGGATCAGGGGCCGGCATCCCTCGGAAAACACTGAGTTGGCAGCCTCCCCTCAGGCAAGCTCGACGCTTTGCTCATCTGCCGCCAATCCAGAACTTTCCGTCAGCCCTCAGCCTCACGTCGCTCCCAGGCGTCAGCCCCCAGCTCGCTGCGAGACCCCCAAAGACCCGGCCTGCTCCAACAGAGCCCACTCCGACGGCCTGCCTCCGAGCGCTGGCCTGTTGCAGGCATCTCCAGGGGCAACCACCCCCAACTCAGCGCCAATTTCCCCTCGACGCAGGCACTCCGTCGGCGTCCTCAGCCCTATGCCCTTCCCCAGCCCCAGGGTCCGCTCCCCGGTGCCTGTCATGGGGGTCAGCTCCACTTCCCCGGAAAGGCCCACCTCCAGGTGCCCATCTCCGTCGCCCTCCCAGACCTCCTCACGGTCAGGGTCTCCTATCCCGCTCTGGGTCGGTCTGCAGGGCCAATCACCCATCTTGCCCTCATCCTCAGGCCCGTTGTGTCAGAGCCCCACGGTAATGTCTGCCCCTTTCTCCCCTCCCACTCCCTCCAGCCCAGGGAGATGGGCCCACCGCTCCGTGACTCAGCAAATGGGCAACAGCTCTTGTCTTGGCATCAAGGGACAATGGAGCGGCCCGTTGGGTGAGAGTGTTGGCAAAGGCTGTGCCCGGGAGAGATTGGACCACGAGGAGCACCCTGGCCGACAGCCTGAGGTTGGAGGTTTCACTGGGGATCCATCATCTGAGGAGCTGGTTATGGCCATCGCTGGCCCTCCGTCGGTCACCGCCACAGGAGGTTCTCCGTGTTGCCAGGAGACTGAGCGAGAGGAGGAAGAAGATGGGGAGACGTTGACGAGAGGGGGGTCGGCTCGCCCTCCGAGCGCCAACCCTGCCAGCGGTCAGGTGGAGTGGTGCAACATTCCAAGGCCTGGTAGGAGCACGAGTGAAGCGAGTGCGGGCAGAGAGAAAGGGAACATGAAGACCAGCTATTCCACCACAGTGAACCTACAGATCGGAGGCACTGGGAAGAGAGCGACTTTCAGCAGAGCTCAGGTCAGTTTAACCCAGATGTTCCTTCCAGCAGCTGGGCAATCGGTCAGGAAGGTCAGCGGCAGCAGCGGAATGACACAGACAACGTGATCACAAACAAGGCCAATGGCAAAACTACAAACTGCCAAAGAACCTCATTTTTATCCCCCGACAGTATGTTGTGAAGAGCAGGCACAGACACTCGCTCACACTCACACACTCACACAGTCACACAGTCACACACACTCACACACACACTCTCACACACTCACACACTCTCACTGACTCACACACACTCACACTCACACACTCTTACACACACACACACTCACTCGCACTCACACACACACACAGTCTCTCTCACACACACACACCCACACACAGACAGACACAGAAACACACACACACACACACACAGACACACACACAGTCTCTCTCTCACACACACACACACACACACACAGAAAGACTGTGACCAGAACCAGACAGATCGCTGCTTTCTGGAAACACTTTGGCAAAGAATTGAAATGGTGAACGTTGACTTTGGGAATGTGGGAATTGCTGGAAAAGGAAGAGCACAGCCCACAAGAGACATTGGGATGGGACTCTCCTGCTGTGGGAGGGTTGGGGGGGGGTGGCGGGTGCAGTAAAAGAAAATGAGCATTCTGTAGGGGGGTATCTGAGCAGCCAGGGCAGGTGGCATAAACGTGACCGAGATAGACGGGGTAGGGTCAGAGGAAGGGTGTTTCTGATTCAAATGTCCAAGTCGATTCACAGACAGATTTGTAGCACAGAGAAGGTATTTTTTTAATGGAGTGGGGACTTGAAAGCAAGGAGGAAAATCCAATACAGATTATTGTAAGAGCGTAGAAATTTGCAACTCCCTGCCCCGAAACAGTAGCAATTCGGAACTTTTGAGACTGAGATCAACAGGTTCTGTTTTCCAACTGGATTAATTTACCAAAGGAAACGGAGCAAAAGTAGGGAAATGGAGCTGATGTATAGATCAAGCATGATCCATGATGTGGAGGCGCCAGTTTTGGACTCGGGGTGGATAAGGTCAGGAGTCACACAGACACCGAGTTATCGTCCAACCAGTTTATTTGAAATCACAAGCTTTCGGAGTGCAGTGATTTCAAACGAACCCATTGGACTATAACCCGGTGTCATGTGACTTCTGACCATGATCTAATTCAATATCACAGTAGACTCGAGGGGCTGAATGGCCTCTTGCTGTTTGTAGATTTTTCTAAGGACAGCTGGTTCAGATGCCAGGTAAGGTCACGTTTCGCTCCAAGTGAAGACAGGGTTGTCTTGAGATGGTGATGTGGTTGATAGAAACTGTTTGAGGATGTCTGAGATGGGCTGTTGTGGGATGAGTCAGGAGAACTGAGTTCTGCCCTTAGACCCAGGGGCTTTGGACGCTGCCCAGTGTTGTTTGTAGAGCACAGCAAGAGTTTATCACTGCACCACTCAGCGCCAAGGATCAGTGGGAGGGCAGCTGGGGTCTGTTAGAATCTTTCTCCGTGACTTTCCAGTTGGGAGACCGGGATTCCGACTTGGTTCTGATGGTGTCACACACCGAACCCCAGCACCCTCACCGTTTCTGGTCAACTTGTTTCCACTCCGTATGGTGGTTCCCACGTGAGCTGCGGACAGACGAGTAGATCCGATGGGAAATTCCAACACCCCTCCATTCCTCATCCTCAATCCAAGGAACACTGTTCAAGTGAAATTCCAGGGATACAATGGGTCTCAGCTCCCGTCATTGGCGGAGGTGAGTGAGTCAGAGAGGGAGGATGGGAATAGAGGTGACAATGAGGAGGAGGCTTGAGGGGGTGGAGATGGACAGGGTCCTAGGAAAAGCAATTGTTGGTACAAATGCATAGAGTTGTATTAGCTCCTTGAGTGTAAATGGAAGGATAACTGGCCGACTGGGACCTGGCCTGTACCCCACACACACGAGCTACAGTCAAATACATTACAGAATTAATTCAAAATGTTCCTACTAATCCGTGAAGCTGGCTAAAATAAGCACAATATCTTGGATTCGACATGAGCAACAGCCAAGTCTCAGACAGCGACATTCCCTCGAATCTGAGAGAAGGCACTTAGCATTTTGACTTGCACTGTACACCCTTAAGGCCATAATCATGGATGTGTGTGTGTGTGTGTGTGTGTGTGTGTGTGTGTGTGT